ATCACTGGGGGAAAAGCACAAACATCACCTTTTTTAACTCATCACCTGCCAAGGTCTGAACACCCAGCCAGCTCGTGCTGCTCCCTGTGACCCTCAGGACACCGGCATGGCATCGGGGCAGATCTGGGATTTTATCCAGGACACGGAGCCATGAAAATCATCCAGGGGGAAACAGGCACCGCCTGCAGCTCTGTGACACATCCCACCCTTCATCCACCTCAGCAGCATCAGGGGTTTGCCCACTCCAGAAAGGACCCTCACACAGCTCCTTTTTCCCTTTTTTTCCTGAAGAGAGAAAAATCTCAGCAAACTCATCTTTCTCAATATTTAACTATTATTAGTTATTTTATCCAATATTTATTTCATTATTGCTAATATGCGCCCTGCTCCTTTTCTCCCATTATTAAGGGATATAGCATACTAACTAAATGAGTTTGTATTTCTCTAGTTCTGGAAAGGGCAAATCCCAGTCCAGAGGAAGCAGAGAAAATGACCTTGAGGGATCCCCCTCTAGTGGGATGAAAGGGAAATCTCGGATGCACTTGAAATTGGGCTTTTTTCCTTTGAAACAAGCAAACTGCCAACTTCTCCTTCCCGTTGCTGCAGCTGTATATCACTGAGCCAACAGCAGAGCCACCCAGATGGAAAATTGACTGGGGTGATTGATGACAAAAGTAAGTCCCAAACTTGCATTTGTGATCTGTGGCAAGTGCACAAAACTGGAGCTGGAGAGTGGAAAGTGGTCTGCACCCCTGCAGAGTTAGAGACAGACAACTCCCAACAACCACTCCAGGCCACCCTCAGCCACCTCCAAGCAGGCAATTCAGAATTTAGGGCTCAGTCCAGCATTTATTTGCAAAGGCACCCACAAGGCTTTGGGAAAGCTGCCCATGCTTCTGAGCTCTTGGCTTGATAAATATTTTTACTCATCACCAGCCTGATCCTAACATCTGAATCCTCACAATGAGTGACCCCCTGGTTGAAAAAGATGATTACATGATCTGCAAAAAGCACCAAGGATTTGATAGATGATCACAATTAATGACAGACAGGAAGCTCACAGTGGTAAGAAGGTGGAGCTGCCATTCCTGCAGCATCTCAAATGTCACAAGCAGTTAGCAGATAACAACCTTCAGCACGCTTAACGATGGCCCTGGCACTAACACATTTTGGGATACTTCACATACTGTACACTCACCATTTTAAGGAAATTTAATAGCACCAAATTATTTAAATGAAGTGTTAATCAGGAAACAATTTATCTCTACACCATAAGCTATTTTTAGTCGTGAACTTTCTACATCAGTGGCTCTTGCTACAGCTCAGGCTTTGGGTTGTTTGGAAGGGAGAAGAAATAAATGACTCCTGGGAGAGATTTCAGGAATAAGTTCACCTTCAGGTCAAGCAGATCAAATCCAACCCAATTCAGGAGTGATGAAACCTGGACCCACTCCCGGCTCCCAAGCCAGGCTGAGCCAGCTCCTAAAGGCAGAGAGACAGGCCAGTGGGATGGACAGGACAGGACTCTGGCCCTGCTCCCAGCTCTTGGAGAAAGCTGGAACTGAGCAAGTCCAAGAATTATCCTTTTCTGAAGGACTTCCAACCGAGCTGCATCAACACAATGATGCTCAGTGCCATGTAAATTCAATTTAAATCTCAGTTACTTCACCACTGTTTGTCAGCTTGGATTGAAAACACCACAGAAGTGACATAATTTTGGATTGAAGGCAGTAAATATCCATTTTCCCCAGCTCACAATTTCCTACCAAGTTAGCTTACAAGTGTGAGCACCTTCCCTGAAGCCACAGTTAACAACCTGTTATTTAAAGTCTACACAACATAAATAACAACGCTGCATCTCTCTGTGTTTTCTGGGAGAAGCTGCCACACAGAATCCCAGTTCTTACACAACAAACTCCAAACTGCACCTCCAAGAACCCAAGAAGGGACCAGTTTTCAAATCAAAGTAAACCTTTTTCCAGGCAAGGTGCTTGGCTTTGCAACAGGAGCAGCCCAACCTTCTACTCCTTTCCCTGCTTTCTGACAGCACAGAAAATATTCCTTTTTCCGGCTGCTGTTTCACTTCCAGTTTGTTCACTGTCCTGCCATGACTCTGACAACGGACTGTGACTTGACGTTAAGGGAAAATTGGTTTTTTTTTGTTTTTCCCAAGCCCTTGTGCCAGTGGAAACCCAGCAGGGAAGAGTAATCCAGACTTTTTAAAACTCATATATTTTCATAAAGGTGGGGATTTTTCTTTTTTCTTTTTTTTTTTTTTACATCTCTGAAATGGAAACTCTCAAGGACTGGAACTGAGTTTGTCCTTCCTGAATTCCCAATATTGCCCTGCTCAGCCTCATTCCCTCTATTCTGCTCACAGCACTGTTATGGGAAGCACCTTGGGAAAGACCCAAGGTGGGAAATTCAAGGTGTCTGATGCATCACTGAGGTCCAAAAAGGCTTCAGAGAGGGAAGGGGATGAGGAGGAGGAGCTCGAGCTGCTCTGATGCCTCACAGACCGTGGTGGCAGCAGAAGAGTGGTTGGATCACAAAAAAATCATACTCAGAGAAAACTATTTGCTGAAATATGAACTTAAAATATCAGTTACAGGCAATCAAATGGGCATTTTATCCATAGATTTCTTGGCAAAGTTAGCATGGAAATCCATCCTTAAGGGGCATCTTCCAAGCAGGGCTTAAGTGTCAAAGGAAGGCACCAACCAAGCCAAGCAGTATTTAACATTTGGGGATGAGGTAATGTGAAGCAGAGAAAACAAAGTGAATTTACAGGCCTAAAAATCAAAATAAAAAGTGCTGATTTTTCCCGTTTGGTCCAAGCCTCCTCCACATGGCAGAGCTGTGTACAAAACCCTCCCAGTGAGACCAGTAAGTGACAAGCTCAGCCCTGTGATCCAGTTTGAGGCACCACACAGGCTCAAGACACCACTTTCTCAGCACTTCCAAGAGAGGGGAAGCTCTGAGGCAGCAGCACAGCCTGCAAGGGATGATTCCCAGGTGTTTTGAGCTGGGGAGATATATTTGAGTGTGGGAGATAGCTGCAGATATTCCAGGGTCCTCCTGCCCCTCCAGGACTCAGCCCCAAGAACCTCACCAGAGCTCAGATGAAGAAGGCAGGCACAGCTTGGGACAATGCCCTTCTTTTCTTTATTTTCTTTCTTTTTAGTAATTCTTAACTGATTAATCCTTTTTATGTTTGCTTTTAAGCCAGTAACAAGCAGCAGATGCTGCCCAGACATCAACAACAGCAAAGAATTTCAGTATTTCTAAGCAAGGGGATGAGGAAGGCAAGAGGGAGGAGAGAAGCTCCAGCTATTCCCACAGTGTTATTTGAAATTCACTACCTGAATTTCCCAGCATTTGGAATTTCTGGCATAATTGACTTGTGTGATCAAACCTCAGGCTGGCCAGGACACACACACACAGTGAGAGCTGCCTGCTGCAAACTCTCAGGGAAAGTTTCCCTCTGACCTGGCAATCCAAGTAGATGCCAAAATATGTAAATTCCATGCTACAAACCTTAAATTCTTACATATCTCTAAATATGTTTCCAGAAACTTCCTTTTCTGAAGCTATCAAGTAATTTTTGACTGTGTTCAAATGTGTTAAAAGCTGAAATCTCTTTATTTAAATATCTTCCCTGCAGTTTATTGACTCAGCCCAGCACTTTGCTTCCCTAAATTAGCAAGTATAGTGAAAACCAAAGCACACCCCACACCTAGTCATTTAAATTGTACAGTAAACTGGAAAAAACCAACCCAACCATAAATAATTTTCTCCTGTGAACTATGCCAGGTCAAAACCTGAAGGGTTTGATGAAATCATGGTTTCAGACACCTCAGGGCCCAGCCTGGGATCTCCAGGAGTTTCTGCTCAGTGGCACCACTTTAAAAACCCATCTCAAACAGCACCATTCAGAGTTGGAAGGAGAAAAAAAACTTCTCAGTTTTCTCCTAATAAAGGGAAATGTCTCAAAAAAGCAGGGAATTCCACCTTGGCTTGAAGGACTGAGGTTTGGAATTACATGCTATTTAATGTCCCTTCCAACACAAACCAGCCTGATCCTATGAAGCATGAGGCAGATAATTATCATTATTATCCAAGGGAAGACACCTGAATATCCAGGAATGCCAGGGCTGCTCATCCCAGTGGGTTTTGCACAGGGACAGGAGTGTGGGGATGGTTTTGCTGGCACATGCAGGAGGTGTCTGCATTACCCATAAATGCAGAAGGCACTTGGCACTTTATGGATGTCATCCCAAACATGCTGACAGAACTTCCACTAGCCCATTATGAGTTTTGTACAAGCTGTGCATTTTACAAGATAAATTGTCTCCAATGTTTTCCCTTAATGCAATTTTTTAAAATCCACTTAGCTGTATGGACAAGTACTTCAGCAAACAATAAACATCTTTGTTTAGAGCTCAGAAGGAGCTATAAACCACTTCCACCAATAAATTAAAAAGCTTTCCACAGAAGAATCTTGCTGTTAGAAGAATGCATAATGCTGAACCTTCCAAAAGTGGAAAGAAGGGCTGTGGGTCTCACCAGGAAGCCATAAAAAGCCCTTTCAGATCATACAGTGTTTGCTTTTCCTAAGAATTAGATAAGAGATCATAGATTCCTCCCATATGTTAATGACTGGGAAATTGTGCAGGGCTTTGGCAAGTACAGGGTAGCAAATACACAGACACTGAAGGCTACCCAGAAACTGTGGGAGACAGATCAGCAGTCAGGGCTCAAAAACCTCCACATCAGTGGGTTTGTAAATCCCAGAGTGGTTTGGGTTGGGAGGCATCCTACAGTTCAACTGATTCCACCCCTCCCATGGGCAGGGAGACCTTCCACACCACCAGGCTGGCCTGGAACCCCTCCAGTTATGGAGAGATATCCATCCCTGTCCCACTGCTCATGCCAACTCCCTACAGACACTGGAAATGCAGATTGTCTCCCATTTTCCCCCATGGCAGGTGCTCCCTTACCTGAATTTGGCGAGATGTGTAAACTGCTCATGTCTTTGGAGAGGCCGTTGGTTTTGGGGCTGGAGATGGGGGCACAGGCTGAGGTGGCTCGGGGTGGCCTCTTGCCAGGGACCTTCACAGTGGTTCTCAGCAAGTCAATCTCTTTGCCATGGACATTCTGCATGTAATCCTGCAGAGAGAGGAGAAAACCCCAAACACAGCATCAGACAGGGAGTTCTGGACAATTAACACAATTAACAAACCTGGTTTCACAAGGCTCTGGCCCTACACCCTCTGCCAGCACCCACCATATGGTTTTCCCCTTCCTTCCATGCTCCTGATAATCCCTTCCACACTTCACATTAACCCTAAAAATCTGGAGTTTTCTCACACATCCTCCAACTTCCAGCTGGGTAAGAGGTGATTCACAACACAGCCACGTGTGGGAATTCACTAGCTAAAGATCCCAAACATGAGGAGAAGACCAAGTGTCCCTCCTGAGCACATTCACTTGTGTCTCCTCTCTGCCAGTGTTTTTTATGCCCTCATCTCCTTCTCCCTCAAATTTAGCTGGATTGGGTCAGCAGGCACCAAAGTTACCAAAGAGCACCAACAGGGAAGGTGTTTCAGCAATTCCAACACTGTTTCCTTACAATATGACCCTTCCTGCACCTACACAAAACATCATCAAAGGGGGAAAAAAACCCATGCAAATTACATCTGATTAGAGCAAACACCGGGAGCCAGAAGTGGAAAAGGATTTTGCTAATTCTTGCTTGGAAAGCGACAAAGGGGAAATAAACAGAAAAGCAAATGGACATGGGTGTTTTTATCAGAGGGCAAATTGATCCTGGGATACACCAGCACAGCTATTTCCAGGAGAGGTGGTGAATGTTAAAGGCAGCACACAAGACACCAGAGCTCCCATCTCCTGGTACACAGGGCTGTGGTCACTCACATTCCAGAAAAAAATAATTGAAACTGGGACAACTACAGTGACATGGAAAGCAACAAAAGAGACACTCTCCTAAAGGGGACATGCAAGAGGGGCAGCACAGGAGAGTAAAATCAGGGGTGAAAAGGGGCACGGGCACTGCACAAAAAGACACCTGGGCTGCCCAGAGCAGCTGGGGCTGCCCCTGGATCCCTGCAAGTGTCCAAGGCCAGGTTGGATGGGGCTTGAGATGCTGGAAGGTGTCCCTGGCCATGGTGGGGATGGAATGGGATGAGCTTTGAGGTCCCTTCCAACCTAGACCACTCCAGGACTCTGGGATTAAGGACCCTGAGAGAAAAACAGCAATTTGAGGTGGCTGGGAGAAGATGTGGGCTCCCACTTCACAAGAGATTTCCTGAATTTACCCAAAATCTCTATCACTGCTGCCACAATCCAGGGAGCTGATTGCTCCCTCCTCAAAATTCTTTCACCTTTGGCAGTTTTTACAACACAAATTACTTATTCTGCTCAAAAATAATCAAAAACCTGGACCTGCAATAATTTCTTCATAGTTAACAGAAATCAGTGATAAAATCCTTGAACTAAGCCATCACAGCAGCTTATTTTTCCCAAGCTGAGAATTACCGACAGGAAAAGGTGGTGTCTGAACAATTAATGGGGAGAGGACACAGTGCTCTGCTGCCAAGAGAAAAACAAAGGCAATCCACTCAGGAAAATTCCTTCACTAGGTGTTGGGAGAACAAACACCTTCCATCCATAAATCATGAACTCGGAGCAACTTCCTTGTTTAGGTGTCACTTCTTCACAAATTAAAACACAATAAGCAGAAGATAATTGAGCATTCACTGCTTGTGGGCTGTAAAGTGAGGTTTAATCAGGGAGTGACTAAACCTTGGCACGTGCCCTTTGCTAACAGTTTTATTTAACTACAACCAACTTCAACTGGAGAAGGGGGTTTTGGATGAAGGCTGGGTGTGATTTCCCAACTTGAGATGTGGCAGGGTGTTGTTAAAGGCCTTTTGGCTGGGTGCAAAGCAGGCTGAGGTGAGCCACAAAACCACTTGAGGAAGCAAACACAAAACCAATGAGTTGCCGCCGTCGGAGCGAAGCGCCCGAACCGCAACAGATGCTGGGTAGGTATTAATGTCAGCTTAAATATTTATGGGGATATATCAAATGTAAATAATAAAGGCCCTTTCATCGCGGGCAGGGTGCAGGGCGATAATCTGAGGGTCTCCCCGAGGAGGGGAGGGCAAGGAGAGCGTTCCCAGCCCCCTCAGATCCTCGGCTCGCTCGGGGAATGAAAGTTCAAACTACAAAATGACGCCGGGGCTTCAGAGGAGCAATGGAGGGTTTGATCAGATTAGAACAGATGAGGGTCTTGCTGTCATCTGGAATATGCTGTGTTAAAGAGAAGACAGCAAGCTGGATTTTGATATGCAAATGGTACAGGGATAACTCCCCAAGATGTTAGTTGTAGAAAATGCTGATCCGAGAAAAAAGGGGAAAAAAAACCCTTTAACAAGGCATGAGGGTAATTCAAAGCCAAGTACTTTTAAACAGCACTTAACAAGTCCCTGGAGCCCACTCAACAGTGGGCCACCCCAGACGTGCCATCTTCTGCCCCTCAACAGCTTGAAAAAGTAGTAATTGCGAATCCATTTGCATTTTTCTTCTCAACTTGTCCGCGTTCATCATTCGGCAAGGCAGGGGGAAAAAAAAATAATAAAAAAATAGAAATTAAAGGCAGCAGCAAAGCAGAGGGACCCCTCCCCAAACACGTGGCGCAGAGGAGACGCGGGCGCCCCGATCCCCACGCCCCGCGCTCGCACCTCCGCCGCCGCTTGTTTTTTACATTTCGCTCCTAATTATGTTGCATCTATTGCCATACACTTAATTAGCTGCATTAATGTGATTTCTTTTCACATAGTCAAGCAATTAAGAGCTATGATTGAGTTTCATTCAATTAGCCTCAACAAACATGCTAATTGATGTCCCAGATGCAAATGAGGTGCAGTGAGAGAAACCTGCTAGCAATTGAGAGTTGTGGCAGGGGGGACCCGGGGCTCGCAGCTCGCTGGCAGCAGCAGCACGGCTTAACACGGCTCCCCCTCCTCCTCCTCCCAGGGCAGGGGGGCCACCAGCCATGTCCCAGAGAGATCCCTGCAGGATTGAATGCAGGGAGCACAGGAGTGAATGATCACTGAATCCAACGGGCGCTGTCTGTGGTGCTGGCGGCTGGCGGAACGTTCCGCTGCTCCCAGGATCCGAGGGCTCCCCAAGGTCTCCATCCAGAGCTGTGAGGCACCAGGCAGGCCATGGCCTGCAGTCAGCACTAACTGGCAGCTCCATCTTAGTCAGAGCAGGGCGATGCTGCCTCGGCATCCATCAATCCATAATCCCCAAATCGCGCTCCCCGCGTCGATCCCCATCCCTTCTCCTCCTCCCCGGGTTACCGCTCCGCTACGGCGCCACCGAGGTGTTAATGTGACTACTCAAGGCCATTGACCATTATCTACAGGACTAAATAAACTGTTAAAATATCAGGGGGAAATCAAAAAAGCTGCATTGACTGAAGATGACGCCAAACATTACTCGACAGCCCCACAAAATGAATTGCCTTGAGTAAGAAAGGAACGATGCGCCATGACACAGAATAATGTAAAGTAAAATTACTTTAGTCCTGCTCCTCATACAGCAGCTCTCTGTTTACAACAGCAGAAATTAATTTAACCAATTAACTGAGCAGAAGCCTTTCAGACATGCAAATTGAGCAAATGGGTATGATCATGTTTTCTAAATAAGCCTACCCAAAAAGTGACACCCCCGTTTTGGGGGGGTCTCTTTGGATTTTGAATGCCAGCAGTTGTTGAATTTATATCTGCACATCACAGTGATTTCAGAGACACTCCACCAAGGGCCACAAGCTGAACCCAGGCTATGTGTGGCTCCAGCTTGATGCCTATGTCCAAGCTGGCCCAGGACACTTCCAGGGATGGGGCAGCCACAGCTTCTATGGGCAAGGGCCTCCCCACCCTCACAGGGAGGAATTCCTTCCCCATATCCAATCTGAATCCACTCTCCTTCAGCTTAAAGACATTCCCCCTTGTCCGTGTGCTCTAGAGCCATCCTTAAGTTAAAGACATGGCTCAGATTATCAAAAACATGGATACAAAAAACGTTACAGAGCTTGAGGGTTTTCAAATAATACAAGAGTGGTGGATAGGGAGAAAGGCCTTCACTGGGGTTACAGTTTTACCCTGGGCAAAGGGGCTTCCAAGCTCACATTGAAATCACTCACCTCGGGATAAGCCATGTGTCACAACACTAAAATGCAAAATAATATCTGCTCCTTCCTCGAGGTGTCCCCATCTTTCTTCCATCTGTCCCACTGCCACCCTTTTCCAGTGCACCACATATGAAATGAGAGACTCTCCAAGAGCAGTGACTTTCCAAGGCTGTAATGGTATACAGGTATGAATATCACACTTAGTTTGTCCTTTTCAGCTATTCTGAGCTCTCACAAGCCTGTTTTTCCATCACTAGGAACAGGTCCAGACTAAAAATCCTCCCCAGATCTCTGCCTGGTTTCCACTGAGAGATGATGAGCTTCTAACCTATCCCTGGTAGTGTCCAAGGCCAGGCTGGACGGGGCTGTGAACAACCTGGGATAGTGGAAGACATGGCAGGGAGGTGGAACGAGATGAGCTTCAAGGTCCCTTCCAACCCAAACCATTCCATAAAAAACACCTTCATTTTGTGGCAGTTTTCCCCCACTGTTCAATCAGATGTAACACTCCTGAGGCTCCACTTACTGAGGTTGAAATAGTGTTTCCTGATCTGAGGCGTAATAAAAATTATTATGGAAAAGGAAGTTTATGGTTGCACCTCTGGATGACATTTCAAAGACTGTGTGCAGCGTATTTTTTGAAAGACAATTCCAATTTTGTGAGCTGACCTATTGGAGGCACAAAACCTATTGTTCACCCTCAGCAACAACCAAATCCTCTTCCCCCCAAACCAAGAGCAGCCCGGGAAATTGGATGGAGCCCTGACTTTTGTGCCTCTCCGTGGCAGTCAGACATTTTTATTGCAAAACGCCGTCTGGAAAAGATGCAAAACAAAATTGCTAAACTGCAAAAAGAAGAAAAGGAGGGAGGTGGGGGGAGAAGGAGAAAAAAAAACAAAAGGCCCCCTTCCCTTTGCTTATTGAGTTCAAAGGCATAACATGCAGC